GTAATTAGAGAGATATCACCACAGTTATCTTTGCAAAAAGTGTCTTCCTTAATTTCTCCTGTCGTCTAAATAACTCCAACATGTCACTACCGCATTGCAAGTCTAAACTCCACAAACTATTTCAGAGCTCTGAAAAGAAATGGACAGAAATGCGAGACAAGTTCACAAAGTGCAACGAAGGGAAAAGGGCAGACATCAGTGCAGGACCGCCGGACGGCGATCTAAGTGGGAAGGAAAAGGTGGCCCTTAAATTCCCATCCACACCCGAGGTTTCACACCAGACCCAAACCTCCAAACTCGTCTGTTGGCCCCTTTGAGGGCGGACAATTCCTGCCAAAAAGCACAATGGGACGGATTAAGGAAAGCCAAATGAAGGATTGAGGCCATTTCTCCCCTTCTTTTGTAATTTTGATGAGCTTTGGGCTCTGATGCATCTGCATAAGCCTCCATTAACATGTCTATACTTTCCAACTAAATTTACACATTTCAACAAATAAAAAAGCCTGGAACACGGCACACACAGTTTCAAAGCTTCGTGTCAATGCCACCATCATCAGCATCATCGGTACATTTTTAGGCTGAACTAAAGTAAATCCGTCAAACGGTTTAGCGAAGGGCAATCCTTGCTAAAATGAATTGTTGGAGCGCCTACAAATGAAGCGCCTCTCTGTTCGAGAGGGGCCTCGAGGCTGCAATAAAGTACCATCCACAGTGCAAAATTACTTGGGTTGAAAGGAAACGCCAAGGCATTGCATTATGGAGGCAATCGGTGATCAGACACACTGTCAGCTAATGCCGATCGCTGCCTCGACAATGTCACTGCAGGATGTGCTTCAACAAGACAAGGCGACATACAATTTAACCATGCAAAATACTCCCAACTTCTGTTTCAATGACCAAAATCGTCCATCCAGAGCATGCAACTTAACCTCGATGCAATTTGGCATTTTTAGAATGATTGTGCAGTGTGGAAAGTCGTGCTGACTGCCTTCGTCTTGAAGAGTGAAGTGAAAGACTCTGTGTCAACGAAATTTTGACCGCATTTATGAACGACGGAGTGCACAAAAGTTGGGAAAGTCGTGGAGACCGTTCACTCAGGGTGTCACTTCATCCTATTTCATAAAACCACTTTAAATTATCCTCTATAAATTCGTAATTACCAACATTATTTTCCCTTAGGAGTAACAGAAGTATGCATTTGTTAGGGGTTGAGAAAATTCCATTCCATCCTCATTATTCGACGGTAAGGTGCTGGAGGAAATGACGGCAATTCGCCATGCGGGCCTGCAAGGGCACAACCCATCGCCCCTCGAAAGCGCGTCCTAGAAGTTGCAACCAGTACAAGTACCCAAAATTACGATCCACCATTTGCAACTAACAGAAGCACAACATTTTCTCACGCCTATAGGCGGCACTGATAAATAGGCTGAAGTGTTGCATCAACCCTTCTTCCAACAGATTTGTTGTATTTAAGTAGTATAATAGGGGGTAAGGCGGTGTTGGCACGAGGTGAATCACCTTGTCGATGTTTGACAAGCAATTCAAATGGCCGGTTGTGTGACAATTTCGACGTCATTCTACTTTGCCTTCTCTGTGGCGTTCGTGTTAACCCCTTGACCCCTTCAAACTCCCAAATACTACGGAGGCGTAAAAACAAAACTTGTTTTCATTTGCATACGTAGAGGAAGTAGGAAACTGCTTGCCTCTCCCTGTCTCTCCCTATTCACCTCAAACCTCACCGAGGTGACAGTCAACTTAGACAGTGAAGACAGACATTCAAATCCTATCACTGTACAAGTAGAAAGGAGGCGAGTTCGATTGTCTTCGACCGTGAAGGCTGGATTGTTTAGACCCACATCAAACCCCAAAGATCCACAAGCCCATCGGAAATGTGGGTGCTGGACATTCGCTTTGCCACCGTTGAAGGCGGCACTCCAGTCGCAATCAAAGGTGCGCAAAGGAAGGCGAGAAAAGCAACCCCGGCCCTGGTAGTGGCCAGTCTTAATCAGACGGACAAAAGTGATGCGCGTACAGAGGATGGCAACCAAAATTAATCCACTTTATGGCCCTCAGTAGGCCAAATAAAGTAACTTCGAGTGATTAAATCAGAAAGTACCATTACTCCCACTTTCAAAACGTAGTGACTTAAGATTCACTTTTGCCTACATTGACGATGAGAGGGTGGTCAAGAGATAGTGTTAAGGCCTCGTGAAGACCCATTCATACACATGCAAATGAATGGCCTTAGGGAGTCAAGCCAAATTGCCACTTTTCCTATTCGGAAGGGAATTTCGACCAAACACAATTGCAAAAACTTGCCAAAACGTATCAGTGGCAATGCAAAACACCACCAACAAACAAGGCGTTCATCCGATAACAAAAGGCCGTAGTGCTGCCCACCATCAAAAAACACCATCCGAGAGGCGCTACCCACATGCACAGTTAAGCGGAGGTAACAAGACAATTGAAGGAATCATGAAGGGAATAAACGTACCCTAAATGCCTCCAACATTTCGGCGTCAGGACAATTGGCCGTCTTCTCGGTGTACCGATTCATCATTCGGATGAATTCGTTGTACTCCACAGTGCCATTACCTGGAGGCAAAACAGAAAGGATTTAGAGATTCCAACTTCAGGATTCACAGGACTTTCCAGTTGTGTGCAACGCTTTCCGAGTTAGGCTAGGCATGGAAACCTCATTAATTTTAACCTCAGAATTTGGTTGTTGATGGGATCAGAAACTCTATTATAGCTGTAGAATAGAGGCGAGATGAGAAGCCAAGTCGTGTCAGGAGGTTGAGCCTGATAAGAAGGAATGTTCGCATCGGTTCTACGTCCTCCTCAGTGGATCAGGTAATCACCACCACGCCAAACAGCGTGGTAAACGATTGAGGCGTTGGAAGGAGAATCCACGTCATGTAGATGCAAACGAGAGCCTTCCACATGCACGCATTGTGAAAGGTGGAGGTGGTGACGTTAGAGGTGCTTTCAAGGCAATGCATAAGGCGGCACAGGAGACAGTAAGTAACTCAGTCGATTTGACGGACACTGAAGTGTTAGCCTCTTTCCCATTTGTCATGCTTCAATCCCCCTCACCCAGTGCCGTGCGACTGGAGCGTTGACACACAGAAGCATTGGCACGGCATTTGGAGGCAACTTTTGATAGAGCATGGCAAAGTGCGTGGAATGCCATCAAGTCACCATTTTCATGCTCACTACTAGTTGTAAGAAGATGCCACTACTCAAATCAAGGGAATGACTGACTGACAGACAGGCAGACAGGCGCAGGGATGGAGGGACCGAAGGAGGGAGGGAGAGGAGAGGAGTAGTAATGAAGGTCAAAGGTTACCAGTAATGCCAGTTGGTGTGCACTGAGAAACAGAGCAGACCTTGCGATTTTGTGCTTTTTACACTTTACATTTAAAATGTAGATGTGGATGCGAATTCGGGCAAACTGTATCGTGACTTTGCAATGCCTATCTGCCCTGTTAACTCTGATGCTACTTGGATGGGGACTTTTGTCCTATAGATGACGCATGGCGCTTTGTGACAGTCTTTTACAATTCTTGTGCCAGCTGCAGCCATTGCGGTAGCAGTCAAACGGTAAAAAAATGTTGGAGGCAAAGAGTAGTAAGCGGAGAGCAAAAGAGGAGGATGGAAGGAGGGTTTTGTGAGAGACAAGACGAAACGATAACGGTTTATTTCAGCCAAAATAATGTTGATTCTGATGAGCTGCCTCCCTATGTTGAGGAAAGGCTGACTTCTCATGCCTATTCGTAGGTATGAGAGGCAAATTCAACTACCTTCATAGTAAGTGCGTCCAAGCGTAAGGCAATACATTTAGTCGACTTGACGGAAGTGATTTTCGCATCAAGGCAAGAGTATTTGAAACTCTCCATCAAGACTTGTCGGGCCCAGAATCTAGAACCTTTATAGGAAATTGGTGACAACTACGCCCCCATTACTACTTTCTCTCATCCAACAATTGAAGCGTGAGACCAACTAAACAAACGAGTATGTGTGTAGATGAGTAGGCGAATAAGTGG